AGGGTAATACGAATGGAGGATACTGAATGGAGCAACTTATTAAACCAACGAGGCATGGAAATTATGCCATGTCATCAAATGACATGGTCAAAAATCACATGACACTATGTTATTTCCAACAGGTTTTTTTGAAGACACAAGCTTTCGGAGTCTCACTCCTCCTTCAGGTATCAGTGAGAGAGGTGACATCAGACACAAAATTTATAAGTAAAAGACCAAAGGGTCATAGAACTGATGTGAGTGTGTTGAACCAACCTGAGATGCCTGTTAACTCTTTAATCAGTTAGAAAAGATTAAAATGCAAATTCCAGAATTTCTTTCAAGTTATTGCCCCGAGATAACTAAAGGTTTTATCCGTTCCCTCAATACACCACAGGTGACATCTCAGGTCAGACAATGCATTTTAGGTGTGAAGCCTTGTTTAGAATCTGGCTGTGTAATAACTTGGAGTCAGACTGGTTTTATTTCCAAAATAGGAATTTATAAAATGCCACATTGACTACCTACAAATTGTGTGCTTTTTGAACTAAATAGAATGTACCTGCAATTAAAAATCTGCAAATACAAATTCACCCCATGTTGACTGTGTGTGTGTGTGTGTGTGTGTGTGTGTGTGTGTGTGATGTTGACTGTGTGTGTGTGTGTGTGTGTGTGTGTGTGTGTGTGTGTGTTTGCACACGCGTGTATATTGTGGTGGGGTCACCTGTAGTGCAACATGAATCCAAGATCCCAGTTGAGGCCATCCTCATGGGTACCAAACTTGGCTATTAGCCTCAGCTTGGCGACTCTGCATTGTTGTGTATCCCAAAGTCAGCCTTGGAGGACATTTACCTGAAGACTCAAGGCCGAATGTCCTTGACCATTGAAGTGTTCCCCCACTGGGAGGGAACATCCCCATCTGGCGATTGTTGCACGGTGTCCATTCATCTGTTGTCGTAATGTCTGCATGGTTTTGTATGAGATAGACACCATTGGCTGAGTCACATGAGTATCTGCTGTGCACATGGTGGGTGGTGTTCCCATATGTGATGGTAGTGTCCATGTTGAAGATCTGACGTGTCTTGCAGAGGTTGCCATGACAGGGTTGTATGGTGTTGTGGTCAATGTTATCCTGAGGGCTGGTAGTTTGCCGTGAACAACGGTCTGTTTAAGGTTTGGCGATTGTTTGAAGGCAAGAAGTGGAGGCGTGGGGAAGATCTTGGCCAGTTGCTCATTGTCATTGATAATATGCTGAAGGCTGTGAAGAACATGGTGCAGTTTCTCCGCTCCCAGGAAGTACTGGACAATGAAGGGTACTCTATCGGTTATATCCCATGTCTGTCTTCTGAGGAGGTCATTACTGTTTTTCGCTGTGGCATGTCAGAACTGGCAGTCAATGAGTTGAGCATCATATCCTCTTCTTATGAGGGTGTCCTTCAACACCTTCAGGTGTCCATCGCATTCCTCCTCATCTGAACAGATTCTGTGTATGTGTAGGGCTTGTCCGTAGGGGATGGCTGTTTTAATATGTTTAGGGTGGAAGCTGGAGAATCGCAGCATTATGAGGTTATCCGTAGGCTTGCGGTAAAGCGAGGTACAGTGCCATCTGTCCCTGTTGGAGATGGCGTGTCCAAGAATGAGAGTGATTTGGAAGAGTAGTCCATGGTAAACCTGATGGTGGGATGAAATTTGTTGATATCGCTATGTAGTCGTTTCAGTGATTCCTTGCCATGAGTTCAAAGGAAGAAACTGTCATCAATGTATATGGTGTGCTGCATTGGTCAGAGGTCCTGTGCAACATATTTGGGGAGCAAATCTGGTTTCCCATGGCTGTTCCATGTGTCTGGATGAAGAACTGTTTGTTGAAGGTGAACACGATGCAGTCAAGGATGAAGTGGATGAGTTGTAAGATGGTGTCTGGAAATTGGCAGTTGTTACTGTTGAGTACTGAGGCTGTCGCAGCGATGCCATTGTTGTGGGGGATGCTGGTGTAGAGGGCCGAAACGTCTGTTATGACGAGGAATGTCCTGGTTTGACTGGTCTGTGGATGCTGAGTTTCTGTAAGAAATCTGTGGTATCTTGACAGAAGCTGGGGGTTCCCTGTACAATGGGTTTCAAGATGCCCTCGACATAGTCAGAGAGGGTCACACAAAGGGTCCTATTGCTTGATACAATGGGATGTCCAGGTGTGTTGGCTTTGTGTCTCTTTGGAAGGCAGTAGAAGTCCCTTACGCGAGAAGTATGCAGGATGAGAGTGCATAGGGTACTCTGAAGGTCTGGATCAGTCCATTGAGTTGACAGGTGTGTTCTTTGGGCAGATTGGCAGGTAGATGTCTGTAGTGTTCCTGGTTGTTCAGTTGTTGGTTGGACTTCCTTACAGTAGTCCATTTTATTCCGTATGACGATGGCTCCTCCTTTGTCTGCTGGTTTGATGACAATGTTGCAATTGGTCTTGTGAACACGGATGGCACTGCCTTGTGCCCGGGTGACGTTTTGTGCTACCTTGTGAGTGCGGCTGATGAATTTGGCATTTACACATTCCCTGCCAGCTTGAGCATACCTGTCAAGCCCCGGGCATCAGTCCTGCCGAGGGGTTCAAATCAGGAATTTGCATATTAATCCTTTCTAACTGATTAAAGATTTAACAGCCATCTCAGGTTTGTTCAACACTTTTGCATCACTTCTATGACCCTTTGCTTATAAATTCTGTGTCTGATGCCACCTCTCCCACTGACACCTGAACAAGGAGCGAGACTCTGAAAGCTTGTGTCTTCAAAAAAACCTGTTGGACTGGTGTCATGTGGTTTTTGACCTTGTCCACTCCAGTCCAACACCGGCACCTCCACATCATCAAATGATATGATAGTTACTCTATCAGCAAATAGTAAACAGGATTCATCTAATTTGTTGTGCATGTTTCATTTACTGTTTTAGCTTCGATTTTTTTAAATTTACGTGACCTTAATTTTGTCACTAATGTCCAATAATCTGATACTCTCAGTGTCCCTCCCTGACTTGCATTGCTTAATTGTACCTAAATTGCTGTTCTACCTTAAAACAACAACATTTTCATTGCTGATTTTGAGTTTACCCTTTTTGAATCCTTCCATCCACATCCCCCTGTGCTCCCTTTACTAGATTAGGACCTGGTGTGGTTGTGGGAAATATTTGAGATCCAGAGGGAGAGACACTGATTTTTTTTGGGGGGAGGGGTTTACAATGCTGCAGAAGGTGACACACATAGGGACAGGGACAGGCATGAAGGAATTTAAAAACAAAGGTGAGAAGTTTAAGTTTTGTAGGTGCTGGGAGACTGAGAGTCAAAATAGATCATTATGCAGAGGGCAATGAGTGGGTGACCGTAGCAGTGTGGAAAAAGGTACAGGCAAATGCTTTGAAGGGCAGAGGATAGAAAGTTTGAATTTGATTTATTGTTATCACATGTAACGAGATACAGTGAAAAGTATTGCTCTGCATGCCATACAGTGCATCTGGGTAGCAGAACAGAGTGCAGATTACAGTGATACAGCTGCAGAGAAGGTGCAGAGAGAAATCAGAATTAACATTTGAGAGGTCCATTCAAAAGTCTGATAACAGCAGGGCTGAAGCTGCTCTTGAATGTATTCGAATGTGAATTCAAGCTTTTATATCTTCTCCCTGAAGGAAGAGGGTGGAAGACAGTATAACTGGGGTGGGAAGGCTCTTTGATTATGTTCTAAATAAAAATCAGAAAAACTGTGGATGCTGTAAATCAGAAACAAACAGAAATTGCTGGAAAAGGTCAGCAGGTCTGGCAGCATCTATGGAGAGAAATCAGAGTTAACATTTCAGGTTGAGTGACCCTTCCTCAGAACTTATGGATGGAAGGCTGGTTTGTATGATAGACTGAGCTGAGTTTACGACTGTCTGTAGTTTCTTGCGGTCTTGGGAACAGCGGTTGTTACGCCACGCTATATGCACCCAGGTAGGATGATTTCTATGGTGCACCTATAAAAATTGGTAAGAGTCAAAGAAATATCAATATCAAAGAATCCCTACAGTGTGGAAACAGGCCCTTCAGCCCAACAAGTCCACACTGACCCTCAGATCATCCCACGCACACCCATCCCCCTAATCTACACATCTCTGAACACTATGGTAATTTAGCATGGCCAATCCACCTAATCCGCACATCTTTGGACTGTGGGAGGGAACCAGAGCACCCGGAGGGAACCCACGCAGACACAGGGAGGACGTGCAAACTCCACACGGACAGTCGCACGAGAGTGGAATCGAACCTGGGTTTCTGGCGCTGTGAGGCAGCAGTGCTAACCGTGCTGCCTGTGGACATGCCAAGTTTCTTTAGCCCCCTGAGGAAGTAGAAATGCTGTTGTGCGTTCCTGACCACTGCGTCAACGTTTGTGGAGCAGGACAGATTGTTGGTGATCATCACTCCCAGGAAGTTGATGCTCTCAATCATCTACTCCTCAGCACCACTGATGCAGACAGGAGCATGTCCTCCACTCTGCATCCTGAAGTGAATAACTAGCTTCTTTGTTTTGCTGATGTTGATGGAGAGATTGTTGTCTTTACACCATACCGCTAAGCACTCAATCTCTTTCCTGTACTCTGTCTTGTCATTGTTTGAGATCTGACCTACAACGGTGATGCCGTCAGCAAACTTGTAAATGGAGTTGAGGCAGAATTTGGCCACAGTCATGAGTGTATAACAAGTATAGTAAGAGGCTGAGTATCCAGCCTTGTGGGGCACCAGTATTGAGGACGTTTGCGGTTGAGGTGTTCAGGACAAGATGGAGATTGGCAATTCTACAGAGATGGAAGTGGGCAATCTTTGTGGTGGGAGGAAATATAGGGCAGGGGTCAAAGGAAATTGTGAACAGTTTGGTTCAAACTAATATGATGGCTGGAGAGAGGGATGGAATTGATGTCAGAGATGTGGGACTCAAACAAATATGTTTTGTAAAAAAAGGGGCAAAATTTCTAGTTAGTAATGGGGCAGATGACATTTTATGGTTGAAAAACTACAGAGGACGCCACGTTTGCTGGTTTTCTATAATAAAATCTTCTTTGGTCAACTGTGCTGGTGAAAGTAAAAATTCACAAACATACAAATTAGGAGAAGTAAGTCATTTGTCTTCTCGAAACTGCTTCGTCATTCAATAAGATCATGGCTGATCTGTTTGAGTTTCAAATTTTACATTCCCTTCTACACCTAATAACCTTTGATTCAGTGGCCTAATATGAAGCCAACTCTACTTTAGAAATCTTCTGAGACTGACAATTCCGAAGTTTCACAATCCTATAAGATAAAAGAAATTCCCTTGTCTGTGTCCTAAAAATTCAACATTTAATAATTTTTAAGCAGTGCTTCCTAGTTCTGGATTGACCCATAAGAGGAAACATCCATTCCACACCGTTCAGGTCTCTCAAAACACTTCAAACAAGTACAGCCCTCGCCCTTCTAAACTCCACTGGAAACAGGTCAAGTTTGTCCCACCTTTCCTCATGAGGCAAACTGCTCTTTCCAGGTATCAATCTGGTAAACCTCCTCTGAATTACCTCCAATGCATTTACAGCCTTCCTTAAAAGAGACCAAAACTGCACACGTTTGAGATGTGATCTCACCAGTGCCCTGTATAATTGAGGCATAACGTCCTTATTTTTATGTTTAATTCCTCACGTAATAAAGAATAGCATCCCATTAGCCTCAGTGATTATGTGATGCATCTACACTCTAACTTTTTGTGACCCATGCACGAGAACAGCTCGATCCTTCTACACTGCAGAATTCTTCAGTTATTTTCCATTTAAGCATTATTTTGCTTTTTTTATCCTTCCTGCCAAAATGAACAACTTCATATTTTCCCAGAATATCCTCCATCACATTTTTGCCCACTCACTCTACCTGTCAATATCTACCTGCAACTTCCACACAGTTTCTTTTCAACGTACCCTACCTTGGTGTCATTTGTGAATTTAGCTCCGATGCCTTTACTCCCTTTTTCTAAATCATTCATGTAAATTGGAAAAAGTTGAGGCTCCAGCACAGTTCCCTGAGGACTCCACTCGACACATCCAGCTGCTCAGATCCAAACCCAGACAACAAGGTGCAGGGCTGGATGAACACAGCAGGCCAAGCAGCATCATAGGAGCAGAGAGGCTGACGTTTCGGGCCTAGACCCTTCATCAGAAAAGGGGGAGGGGAAGGGGGTTCTGAAATAAATAGGGAGAGAGTGGGAGGCGGATAGAAGAGGGATAGAGGAGAGGATAGGTGGAGAGGATAGGTGGAGAGGAAACAAACAGGTCGAAGAGGCGGGGATGGAGCCAGGAAAGGTGAGTGTAGGTAGGGAGTTAGGAAGGGGATAGGTCAGTCCAGGGAGGACGGACAGGTCAAGGGGGCGGGATGAGGTTGGTCGGTAGGAGATGGAGGTGCGGCTTGAGGTGGGAGGAGGGGATAGGTGGGAGGAAGAACAGGTTAGGGAGGCAGGGACGAGCTGGACTGGTTTTGGGATGCGGTGGGGGGAGGGGAGATTTTGAAACTTGTGAAATCCACATTGATACCATTGGGCTGCAGGGTTCCCAAGCGGAATATGAGTTGCTGTTCCTGCAACCTTCGGGTGGCATCATTGTGGCACTGCAGGAGGCCCAGGATGGACATGTCGTCTGAGGAATGGGAGGGGGAGTTGAAATGGTTCGCGACTGGGAGGTGCAGTTGTTTGTTGCGAACCGAGCGTAGGTGTTCTGCAAAGCGGTCCCCGAGTCTCCGCTTGGTTTCCCCGATGTAGAGGAAGCCACACCGGGTACAGCGGATGCAGTATACCACATTGGCAGATGTGCAGGTGAACATCTGCTTGATGTGGAAAGTCTTCTTGGGGCCTGGGATGGGGGTGAGGGAGGAGGTATGGGGGCAGGTGTAGCACTTCCTGCGGTTGCAGAGAAAAGTGCCGGGTGTGGTGGAGCTGGAGGGGAGTGTGGAGCGGACAAGGGAGTCACGGAGAGAGTTGTCCCTCCAGAAAGCAGATAAGGGTGGGGAGGGAAAGATGTCTTTGGTGGTGGGGTTGGATTGCAGATGGCGGAAGTGTTGGAGGATGATGCGTTGGATCCGGAGGTTGGTGGGGTGGTACGTGAGGACGAGGGGGATTCTTTTTTGGTTTTTATTGCGTGGACGGGGTGTGAGGGATGAGGTGCGGGAGATGTGGGAGACACGGTTGAGGGCCGTGTTACGGTCCTTGAAAAACGAGGACAACTGAGATGTACGGGAGTGGAATGCCTCATCCTGGGAGCAGATGCGGCGGAGGCGAAGGAATTGGGAATAGGGGATAGCATTTTTGCAGGAAGGTGGGTGGGAGGAGGAGTATTCTAGGTAGCTGTGGGAGTCGGTGGGCTTGAAATGAATATCGGTTTCTAGGTGGTTGCCCGATATGGAGACAGAGAGGTCCAGGAAGGGGAGAGAGGTGTTAGAGATGGTCCAGGTAAACTTAAGGTTGGGGTGGAAGGTGTTAGTGAAGTGTATGAACTGTTCGAGCTCCTCGTGGGAGCACGAGGCGGCGCCGATACAGTCATCAATGTACGGAGGAAGAGGTGGGGTTTAGGGCCGGTGTAGGTACGGAAGAGGGATTGTTCCACGTAACCTACAAAGAGGCAGGCGTAGCTTGGGCCCATGCGGGTACCCATGGCTACCCCCTTTGTCTGTAGGAAGTGGGAGGAATTGAAAGAGAAGTTGTTGAGTGTGAGGACGAGTTCGGCTAAGCGGATGAGGGTATCAGTGGAGGGGGACTGGTCGGGCCTGCGGGACAGGAAGAAGCGGAGGGCCTTACGGCCATCTGCATGGGGAATGCAGGTGTAGAGGGACTGGACGTCCATGGTAAAGATGAGGTGTTGGGGACCGGGGAATTGGAAGTTCTGGAGGAGGTGGAGGGCGTGGGTGGTGTCACGGACATAGGTAGGGAGTTCCTGGACCAAGGGGGAGAAAATGGAGTCTAGATAGTTGGAGATCAGTTCGGTGGGGCAGGAGCAGGCGGAGACGACGGGTCGACCAGGGCATTCAGGTTTGTGGATTTTGGGAAGGAGATAGAAGCGGGCAGTGCGAGGTTGGGGAACGATGAGGTTGGAGGCCGTGGGTGGGAGGTCACCTGAGGTGATGAGGTTGTGGATGGTTTGCGAGATGATGGTTTGGTGCTCAGGGGTGGGGTCATGATCAAGGGGGCGGTAGGAGGAGGTGTCGGAGAGTTGGCGTCCGGCCTCGGCGATGTAGAGGTCAGTGCGCCATACTACAACTGCGCCTCCCTTGTCCGCGGGTTTTATGGTGAAGTTGGGATTGGAGCGGAGGGAGCGGAGGGCTGCACGTTCTGCGGGGGAGAGGTTGGAGTGGGTGAGAGGGGTGGAGAGGTTGAGGCGATTGATGTCTCGACGGCAGTTGGAGATGAAGAGGTCGAGGGAGGGTAGGAGGCCTTGGGGTGGTGTCCAGGAGGAAGGGG